AAACTATCTACTACTGTGCAGTTATATTAATGTATCTTTAATTTATACTTATTTAACGTTTCTGTATTGCGAATAGAGAAGCAAATATATTTGGTTTTTTCAATATTCACAGATAGTAAATTATTTCACATATCTATATGTTGTTACTACATTTAGACCTTTTTTGCAATATCATAGACTTCACTCCAGTTATCTCCTGTGAAAATAAGTGCAGTATCATCAGCGTAAGATATTACTTTACCCTGTATTAGTTTGGATGAACAAAGGTCGTTTATATAAACAAGAAAGAGGGTAGGGCCCAATATGCTTCCCTGCGGATTACCATGTGTTATAGGTAGATCAGTACTGCTATTAAGTTCATTCAGATAAATAGCTTTTGAATAATTGTAATTGTTTATCTCTTATACCCACAATTTCAAGTTTATAATTAATTGAGATTTTGGTATTGTATCGAATGCCTTGGCTATGTTATTTGTTATAAAATCTGTTAGTGAATGTAGGGCATCTGATGTTGATTTACTGCGTCGAAAGCCAAATTGATTTTCGGAAAGTATATGATTTTTTTCAAGATAATTAATGAATCGAACATTTATATAGCTTTTCGAGAATTTTTGAGATTGCAGGAAGTAAAGATATTGGCCTATAGTTACCAATGTGTCCCCTATCACCATTTTTGTAAATAGGAATTAAAATTGATTTTTTGAAACATCTAGGAAACATTTCTTTTTTGAAACACAAGTTAAAAGTGAAAGTTAGGGGAGGTATAAGGAAATGTCTCAACTCTTTCAGCATCTAATTTGAAATTTTATCCCAACCAGGAGAACATTCAGATTTTAGGTTTATTATGATAAGCTCTATTTCTATTCAAAATTTAAAATATCTTTATTCATGTAGGTCTATTACAGACTCTTATGATATGTCAAATCTACCGTCAGTTCGGAATGATTTCGAGATGAGAAGAACTGACAAGAAATTTAGTTCGTATTTTTTAAATGTTGTACATATTTACAATAATACTATTTCATTCAAATTCAAATTTGGGAGAATAGAGTGACCACCAGCATATGTTATATAAAAAAAAAATCAAAAAATCTAATCAGTGTTCGCAACCTGAACAGACCAGTCCCCACAAGCAGCACCCGTTCACGAGTATGACGGATGAGCCAGCCATCATTGCACTCAACCATATTAGAGGGAGCACATCGACCCGGCCCACCACGTCGCCACAAGTTTGAACTTTATAGCGAGCGTGACTGACTGTTTCAAGTTACTCCACTACGTCATTTATATTATTTACAGCATAAATGGTACCAATCACAGTTTTCACCCATTACAATATTTAATTTACATTATTTAAATTACAATATGTCATTACTAAATTTAGAATAAGTTTCTTTAGTGTTTATTGCCAAGCTAAGCTAAGTTTTTGTGTCAAGGGTACATAGAAAATACCCTGACCAATACAAACAACCATATTATGAATACAAATGTTTGTACCGTGCAAAGAACCGAACTCGCGAGCGACTATCTGAATTAAGGCGGTGTGCAAAACCGCTAGGCCATCAAGTAATAGCAATTGTACTGCCTTAAGTGAATACGTACGAAATTTTTACTTTTTATTTTTATTGCATCGATAATTTAATTTTTTTTGATTTAATGATAATCGCAAATATTGATAATGATGATTAAATACATGTTTTATAGTATAGGAGGCAAGCGAGTTTACGACACACCTGATGGTGAATTTGATGTATAGTTGCCGGGTGAGTAGGGGGAGGAATTAGGAATGGAATAGAAAGGTGGAGGATAGGAATGCTATAACACTTAACGCCGGTGTTTTGAAGAATGAGGTGTTGTATTATTGACGACATTGATGGTCTAGTGGTTTAGCACACCGCTTTACTTCCGATGTTCGTGGGTTCGAATCCGCGCACGGTACAAACATTTGTATTCATGAGTATGATTGATATTTATATCGGTCTGATTGTTTTATATGTATTTAGTCTCTATAAAAAATATGAATTTATCTTAAGATTAGTTTATTTATATGACGAGAGACATTTAATGACGGGAGTTCACACTTGTAAAAGTGAAACACGTAAATTATTCTTTTAAACAGTTCTTTAGTGGTTTTGTGAAATAATCAATACATGCAAGTAAGTAATATTTTACTATAATTAAAATTAAAGTATTTTGGAGCGGATTTTAGAACAATTTTAATTTATTTTTATATTTTATGGGTCGAGGGGTAGATTTGACTCCGAGAAAAAAATCCGAGGTTAAAACCCTTCTCCTACACACAAATCACTCTCAGAGGATGATAGCACAACTGGCCGGGATATCGAAATCTGCCGTCAATAAAATAAAAATAACACAAGCTCTACTATTCTTGAGACAAGATGGCGTTGTGTGAATTGTTCAAGGATATTATATTGTATTTCCCATTCGTGCTCTACCACTTAAAAATGTGATATTATAAAATGAAACGGTCGAGTTGCCATGAATTGCAATGATGTTTATGCACGATTCAGCTCCATGTCATAAAGCGAGGAGTGTAACCAAATTTTTGGAAGACCACAACATTCCAGTTTTACCTTGGCCTGGCAATTCTCCTGATATGAATCCCATAGAAAACTTGTGGGAAATTACCAAGGCGGAAATTGCTAAGGAAATCATAACTGTAAAACTAGTTGAAAAATTAATAAATGTATGGTTTCACAATAAATATGCTAAACAGTGTATTATATCAAATTCATGTGACTTGTTTATATTTTCGTTGTTCAAATATTAAATTATTATAGTCTAAATTCATTATAAGATATGTGTCTGATATTATTAAATATAATTAATAAAGTGACGTTTTTAATTAATTATGACCAATGTTTTGTTCAATTTACTGTATCTTGTATTTATTTTAGTCGCGACGATGGCGTTGTGTGGCAATACCACTTAAAAATGTGGAATGTTGAATGATATGGTCAATAAATATTAATTATATCAAATTTTCTTGCGCCGCCGCGCCGTTTTATATCGGACGATACACAGCAGGCAAATAAAGCGCTATTGATGATGCTTGCTATAAATTAATGAAATTATTTTACTACATAATCATACAATATATTTATTGACCACTAGCTAACTAACGCAACTTCGTCTCCATCACACTTACTTGACATGTATCAGTATATTTCGCTCAACTTACATTATATCTTATATGTTAATCTGATGTATAAACCTTGATGTTACGGAGCTTCGACTCCGGTTCCGTTAAGTCGGAACTTCCGATTATTATTACACCTTCGGTTCCGACTTCGGCTGGGATACTTTTAAATCGGAGGTTTTAATCGGAGGTCGAAACGTAATATAGCGGCGAGGGCGGCCTGTGTCGACTGTTATGAACAGGTTCATACATGTCGCGCGAGGAATCCCGCCGACCTCCGCTACGTGCACTCAATCGTCAAAGAGAAAAGAGAAGACTAAAAGTCGTCGAAAAGAGAAAATTCATTGTTTTGTACGCGACTCTGGATCTAATATGATACGAGCAATGAAACTCGGCGACATACCTGATGTCAGTTGCACTGTACATCAGTTGCAACTGTGTGTGCGAACATTGTTAGATTGTGATATATATAAATATGCTAATTTTGTGATGGAAATAATATGCTAATTTTTTTTCATTGCTTGTGTTTTATTTTATAATTAAAAAAAAAATGATTAAAGAATGCTTTATAAAATTATAAAAATTCTTTCTCATGCCACCACTTCTGACCCTGCCTCCGACTCCGATTCCGATTCCGATAAATCAAATTTAAAAACTCAGACTCCGACTTCGGTTCCGATAAAACTACCTCCGTTACATCCCTAGTATAAACTATATTACTGTAAAGTGTCATTAAAATCCGTTCATTCGTTCATTTTGCGTGAAAAAATAACAAACAGCCATTAGCCATCCATAGTTTAAATTTAACTTTCTCGTATTAATATATATCTACATGAGATGTCATGAAATAGTCATATCGTTTATGGTTGTTTATAATCGGTAGCCGATTGAACTTGAAATTTGTAACCAATTTACTTATTTATTCTTTCTTCCTTGTACAGTTTATATGTGTAATATATTACTGTAAAGTGTCATCAAAATCCGTTCTGTAGTTTTTATGTGAAAGAGTAACAATCATCCATTCCTCTATCCAACAATACTCACAATCTTTTGCATTAGTAATATTAGTAAAATTATTTCACTTAATTACCAAATGAATCAACAGCTTTTAGTTCATAGAGTATAATATATTTTCGTATACCTACTTGGTATCACCTTATTACATAAACTCTATAGCCATATATAATAAAGTTTAGTTTAGCCATGTTGTTGTGGTTATAGTTTAAAAAAAATAATGTAGTATTGCATTGCAACTTACTCCTGATATACTGATATTTTAATTAACAATATCTAAAGACAAACTATGGATGCATTTATATATGTAATTTGAATGGCAAATAAGCTGGCAGCACCTGATGGTTTCCACTTCCAATCCAGAAGACTAACATGCGGTTGAAATAGCTGAAACTGAGACTCTACTTTTTTTGGTTTGTGTACCTGTACCGATAGTACAGATGTGCCTTTAGCAGACAGGTGCAAAAGTAGGGGTGTTCTAAATTTATAAGGTTATATTAACGTCTAATTAGTTTAGGATTTATGGCGTCGTTACTGTAAAAAATATTCTCTTTTATTTAGGCAATGGAATTAATGGAACATAAAAGCTATTTTTTAAATTAATCAACATTATTGATACGTTTAATACATAAAGAATTAGAAAGAGTAGGTGCCCCTTTTTTTTGTTATATAAACAGCCTTTGTTTGTTTTATTGTCAATAGGAAAGCCTTATGGGCGATTGGGACGGCGGCAACGCGGCGGCGGCTGTGTGCCCGTAGAGTACGCAGTGCGCAGGGCGGGCGGGGCGCGGCGGGCGGGCGGGCCGGGCCGTCGGCCGAGCGCGCAGTGCTCCTCGCGCAGGACCGGAGTGGTGTTCACTCGGCGGCGCGCCACGGCGCGACATGCCCAGCTGATGTTTATTTATACCGCGAGCTCGGAGGAGGGTGCGCGCGGAGGGCCCTCCCCGCGGCATCTCGGTGCCGCGTGATGCAGCCGAGCGAGCTTGCCGACACCGCGCACGCCGCTAGCGGAAACCCCCCGCAGCGTGGCCTCAACGGTGGCCGTTTCGACTTTGACGATGGTGGTACATATTGTGGTGGTTGGGAGGACGGCAAAGCCCATGGCCATGGTGTGTGTACAGGACCGAAAGGACAAGGCGCCTATGCCGGTTCCTGGCACTTCGGCTTTGAAGTTTCCGGTGTCTACACCTGGCCCAGGTGAGAAAGTGACTTCGCCCGGGCCTCACACATGCCCGAGCGCAAATCCGCGTCCGAAGCCGCTCCAAAAATAGGCTGCTATTAATAATTGAGTTCGGTGTTTCGCTAGAAAACGTGTGTAAAGGCGGTGAAAGTGCCTCATGGCTCAATCGTGACGAAAATATTCATATCGATCTGTTAGCACTGATAACGACACGTGATAACGGAATGATGTCCTCTGCGTCAATTGACTTGTCATTGCTACAAGCAGATTCATTAAGATTCAATAACACCATCTAAAGTACGCCATGATTGTATAAATTGTAATTGAGAACAATATGATGCAGCTGTTAAATGTCCTTGTCCCGAGGTGACGACATATAGAATCATTCTGCTGATCATTTCAACGAGCTGCCGTAGGTAGTTAAATTAGGTAACGTGACGAAAATCAGAGAGCAAAGTATTAACAATGGTATCCCAAGATAGTTACGGCGTTCTTTAATTACAAAGAACCAAAGAGTGACCGACCGCATAATTTTAATTCAGTGAATCATTTTAAACCGTACAGATGCCAGACAAATATCAGTTTATTACTTCGGAGAAATTCTGATTGGATTACTAATAACATATAGTTACTATTATTTTTGTAGATATAAATTATTTTACGATATTTTCATTGCTGTACGTCTGTTATTCTTGCAAGATATAATAAAAGAAAAATATGTTAATTGAGATGTATGTATAAATTGAATGTATCATATATAATGTAATTGGGAACTAAAAGTTTTTTCTGTTTCGATATTCACGGAAATCATCGGTCAGTATCTTAAAAGTAGAATTAAAAAATAATAAATCTTATAACCAAAATTAATAAGTAAGATGTAATAAGTGGGTAGTTATTAAAATTAAGAGTTTTGATCTTACTGTTTACATTGAGTTGTAGGTTTATACATATAGTTAGTTCGGTAGTTATACAATAAAATGCACCGCCTCTTATATATTATTTATGACGAAAATACCAGACCAAATTGTAACATATCGCGACAAAAGATTCAATAGTTTCCACTCTTCTAAGATTTTTCTGCTACTTTTCTTATTTTGATAGCACGTTAAGTTACATATCGCTTAAATCAGCATTATGATAATGACTAGTTGTAAAAATACAGAGATTACACCACGATACATAGACTTCAATCGGATTGTTAAGGATAACTAAAAAAAATACTGATCACATTTTTATCAAGTTATACGAGGAGCCTACTAGAAACACCAGCGTTCAAGTAAAAAAATCGCTTCATATAGAAAAATTTCTGTGCAGCAGTGAATTGAGAACTTCTTTTTTTTTAAGTAGGTTGAGAAACAAATGAATGATTGTTGAACTTTTTATTATGACCACATCAACAAAATACATTGTGTACTCTTATGGTAGTTACAATGAATTTTGAGGTATAATATTCCATTCTATGTCTATTCAGATCAAGGTCGGCCGGCGACAGAAGCAATCGAAAGTAAAACTATACTGTAAATTATAACAATTATCTTATATATCAGACGAAATAAGACATGCCAGTTAATGAGTAATGGTAGTATGACGTGCAAAAGCTTTTAAATGTGGCTTAGTTGAGACGACCAAATCCTTTTTCTGACCTGCTGTCTGACCATACCATACCATATGGTATGGTCTACGACAGGAGCACTACACGACTACGCTTGTACTACTAGGTAAACCTGAAATTATGTATATAAGTAAAAATTAAGCCTATTCCCCATGATCACGACATCACACCTGAGTGACTTGATAGAATTCGGTAATTATTTTTGTGTTTTTATTGTTAAGAGAAGCTTTTTATAATAGAAAAAAATAAGAAAGTTTAGCGGAACATTAGAAAAGTTAATAAGGTCGTACTAAGTATGCAATGTTCAAAATTAATATTTATAGTTAAGACAGGGTAACGTCTGTCGGATCAGCTAGTTTATAATAATTATTGAGAAGTTAAGTACTTTACAGTGACTCAGTTTATATTTGTGTGACATTGATCTTTGTTAATAGGGAAAGTGACGTAAGTCTCGGCGCCTTCCTAACTTTTGAAAATTCGCGATCGAAAATTATGGTGTTGGAAATTTCCAAGAGTAAATCACTTCTAAACTTTAAACAGTAATATTATAACGAAGACAGCTTGAATAAGTTTTATTTGTACTACCTACTATATGAAGTTACTATCAAGTAGAGTGAGGATCGCGCCCACTAATTGTCAGTGACACTAAAAGGAAAATTAAATTAACCTAGGTTAGTAAATTGCTCGCATAACAAAAAATGTTCAGCATAATGGAAATAGAATAACATACTATGTCCTTGACATACCCCTACTATAATTTGATAAGCTTGCTCTTCTTGAGTTTCTTGTATATAAAGACTACCACTAAGTACACCTCTGAAAGATTACCGTTAGTGGGTAATTTGTACCCTGTTGTGTACATTATACAAATTTGAACACCAGTATCTCCTACACGAAGAACGAAATTTAATAGGCAATTGGGCATGACATCAACTTGTTGTATTCGCATTTATCAAATAAATTTATTTTATTTTGGAATATATTCATATAAATTGGTTACAACTCTTTGTAGAGAAATAACTGAGTTTTTATCGTTTTGCTACATAATGAGTAGTTGTGAGTAATCAACTAAATTTAGCTATATCCCTAGCCCATTACTTAAACATGTTCACTTAGAAATTTCTGAGAATGTGAAATAGTCAAAAATGTAATGTAATTGGTCATAAAATTTAACTGAATTTTGTTAAATTTTGTTCAATTTGTGCTGTTATTAAATATTATAGGGATATAACTACCGAGATAGGAACAAAAAATGTATGATTATTCACTGGGTCTATTCATGTTAATAATATAATACACGCTAAATGATTAAATAAATATAATAAAATAAATGGTATATATCTCTGACAGAATGTGTTGCATGTGCCAGGTCTTCCGGTAATCTCTCTCAGCTTACTGCTTCAACCCACTTTCATCAGGTCATTGCTCCATCTAAACCGAGGACAGCCCGACTAACAATTCGATTTTTTGCGTCCATTTTAATAACTTTATATCAATCCTTTATACATATGTAAAAATCCTCTATTTATTATTGCAAATAAAATATGTCGCCCGCATTGTGTATCGATCAATGTAATGTGAGACTTTGGGAATATGATCTGCTAACATAATCCTATACGCTTTATAGTCGGTACTGAAGTGTAAATGTCTATAGTGATTTTGCAATAGAGTACAAATACTTATTATTACTACGTAGTTGACTATGTACCAATAATAAGTATTAAAGTATTGAGTCTTTGTCTGTAACTTTATAGGTTTCTTATTGGAATTCCTATAGTTTTGCTGACTATTATATAGATACCTATATCAATTTTGTCCAAATCTTATATACTTAAAGGTTATAGAATTAAGGATTTCTATACAACCTGTATGGAAATTCCTATTAACTCCTTTGGAATCATAGGAATTTAATTAATATAATTTGATTGTCACAATTACAATGATAGTTGCTAATCTTTTTAACAAGTAGAGACGGCTTTATTAATTTTTTTTGGAAATAAGAGAAAGCAGCAGCAGATTAAATATTAAAATATATTAAAATGATAAAATTTTCATGTTGACATTACAAACATTACAGAGATATTCAAAGTGACATATACATCACAATCTTACAGGACGACATTGATAAAAGTTCCTTAATTATCGCTTGAAGGAACACCGCTCCTCTACTAGCTTCACTTAAGCTAATATACTCCGCCTCGGTGGACGAAAGCGAAACGCAAGACTGTTTATAACTACCCCATGATATTGTGTTATCGCCATACTTGAACACGTATCCAGTGTAAGATTTACGATCAACATCTGAAGCCCAGTCTGCATCTGAGTATCCCTCAAGAATAGAATTTACATTCGATTTCTTAAATACTAAAGCCTTGCGCTTAGTTCCTTTAAGATACCTTAGAATGCGCTTAGCTTGATTCCAATGAAATTCTGTATAACAACTATTAAACTGACTTAAATAAGACACAGCAAATGAAATATCAGGTCGCGTAGTTACACATAAATAATACATTAAACTGCCTATCAATTCTTGATATGGAAATTTGGATGTAGAATTATAGATCACAGTATTACAAGAACTCTCACTAGAACTAATATTGGTTATCATGGGAAATTTTACACACTTGCAGTCAGTCATACCAAAACGATCTAATAATTTATCAATCCGATGTTCCTGACTAAGTTTGATGGAAGTTGCATCACGCTCTACCTTTATACCTAACATATTTCGTACCGGACCTAAGTCTTTAATTTTAAAATGTTTCAACAGAGAAGATTTTAATGTCTCTGCCAAATAGTTGTCATTATAAAATACAAAAAAATCATCAACATATAAAGCGATAAAAATAATAGACTTACCAATTCTTTTTACAAAAATACAGTCCTCTTGTTTACACTGTACATATTGCAAAGAAAGTAATACTTCTTTTACCTTTTGATGCCAGGACCGCGAGGCCTGCTTCAACCCATAAACAGACTTTCGTAGTCTATACACCTTGTTTTTATTCTCAGGCATTCTGAAACCTTCTGGCTGTTGCATATAGATTTTTTCGTGCAAATCACCATTCAAGAATGCTGTTTGGACGTCTAAGTGATCAATTTTTAGATTGAATTCCACTGATAGAGCCAACAATAGTCTAATAGAACTGTGACGAACAACAGGTGAAAAAGTCTCGGTGTAATCTTCACCATATTTTTGAGTAAAGCCCTTAGCAACTAACCTAGCTTTGTAACGTGTGATGTTACCTTCAGAGTCGCGTTTCAATGTAAAAATCCATTTATTTTTGACTACATTTTTGTCAATTGGTTTATCTGTAAGCTCCCAAGCTTCGTGTAGATTGAAAGAGTCAATTTCTTCTTGCATGGCTTTTTGCCATAGTTCTTTATCTTCACAACTTAAAGCTT